CAGATGAGAACCCCACATGCACAAGAGTCAGAGACCCCACAGACAGGAGAGGTTCTGGAACAGAAAGGGAAAAAGGAGTTTGTGTGACACTCTGAGCTCGGGCTTTAGGGGAGGAAGGTCATTGCAGGACGATAAGAAGGGTGGATGTTCAGTAATTAGAGATTTGCCTTGCCCTGTAGATAGATCATAAAACATTATTTCTGATAACTCTTATTACGGGCAAGGCCCCTAATTAAAATTCTTTAAGGGAGAGGGAAAAGATTCTCATGAACTGCAAGGTCTCGGTTGCCTTCTGCTCAAAATAATTCCCACACCGAAGTGGCATAGCGTGGGGAGGCCTGTTCTGAACCCCTCGTCCTGCCTTTTAGTCTTCTGAGAACTCTCACGGTCCAGAAGTTGGGTTGAGTGTATAAAAATTTTTATACAAGCCCTTGTTGGTTTAATAAGTTCATGAAAGAAACTGCTTTAATGTAGCTTAAAATCTTCTCTAGTAATCTATTAGCCGAAACCGGTTTGGCTCAGTGGATAGAGCGTTGGCCTGCAGACTGAAAGGTCCCGGGTTTGATTCCAGTCAAGGGCATGTACCTTGGTTGGGGGCACATTCCCAGTAGGGGGTGTGCAGGAGGCAGCTGATTGATGACTCTCTCTCATCGATGTTTCTAACTCTATCCCTCTCTCTTTTTCTCTGTAAAAAATCAATAAAATATATATGTTTTTAATCTTCTCTAGTAATCTAAATACAATTGTTAATAACTAATAAATAGATGTCAATAAATAAAAAGTATTTAGTGAACCACTAGCAATAAATATATATTTTTAATAGTTTCCCCAAAATCTTTTGGTAATTTGAAACCTTAGAGTTTTGCTAAGTTGTGTATGATGAAAATTATTCAATATCTAAATCATTTTATTTTAAAAAATATATTTTTTATTGATTTTAGAGATGAAGGGAGAGGGAAAGAGAAACAGAAACATCAATGATGAGAGAGAATCATTGATTGGCTGCCTCCTGCACACCCCCAGTACTGGGAGATAGAGCCAAAACCTGGGCATGTGGCATTGACTGGAATCAAACCTGGGACTCTTCAGTCTGCAGGCTGACACTCTATCCACTGAGCCAAACCGGCTAGAGCATCTAGATCATTTTCAAATAAGATAAAAAACTAAAGCATTAATTACTAAATAAGCATAAGTTTACCTACTTCTGGTTTGTTATTATAGAGAAACTGAAAGATAAAATCAGATTTGTTTATAAATATGGCTTGTGTTTGTTGAGGAAGCGTATATATATCTCTATTATGAGATATGTTTATTTGTCAGTAAAATAAACTATGTTTGTTGAGGTTATGAAATGTATTCATAATTTGCCAATCTAAAGACAGTTAATTGCTTGCTTTTTAGTTTTTATTAGGAATTAAAAATTTTAAGGAATAAAATTCAATATATAGGGTGTCCCCAAAAATGTATACACAATGCTCTTAATAATTATAAAGTTAGTGTTTATTAAAATACATTTCATTTTCAAAATTTAGCTATCAGCTGTTATAGTGTGTATACATTTTGGGGGCGACACCCTATATATAATTAAAAGTATTAGGAATAGCCCAGTTGGTGTTGCTCAGTGATTGAGCATCAATCTATGAATAGGAGGACCCGGTTCAATTCCCAGTCAGGACACATGACCCAGTTGTGGGCTCCATCCCCAGTAGGGGGTGTGCAGGAGCCAGCCTATCAATGATTCTCTCTCATCATTGATGTTTCTATCTCTCTTTCCCTCTCCCTTCCTCTTTCTGAAATAAATAAAAACGTATTTTTTTTCATTCAGTCTTAGAAATTGAGAATATTAAAGACAAATGTGCTTTGAACTTTTTCTAAAGCTACATTTATGGTTTTACAAAAATATGTAAGATAAGGGCAATAGATCATTTTCTCCAAAAAAAAACTGGGTAACCTAAATGGCATCATAAGTTGACCTACCTGTCCAACTACATCACCTCTAACTTGCTTCTTTCCTTCTGGTTACATAGTTTTAATGTAAATTATAGGAGGAGGTCCCTATCAGGCTATGAATCTCAGCTTCCAATTTGGCCCAATTTATGGTCATTGCCACACAATCCTTTCATGTGTCTTGTCGGACTGCAGCCAGGGCGAACAGTAAATATTTCTGGCAGTATTATACAAGTTGAGGGTGCAGAGGTGGTTACCTCCCAGAGTCATTTCCTGTGATACCCCAAGGAAAGAACTGACGGGTGGCTTGTCTCAGGCCAGCAGTCAGCCACACCAAACCCTCAGGTCCCAAGCAGCAGCCATCTCCCGGAGGAAAGTGCAAATAAGAACCAAGTGCACTCAGACCAAATAATGAGCAGTTACTGTGCCCAAAGAACGAGGCTCATGAGCACTTCTCCTCGTCTACATGTAGAAAAGACGCCTCCCTGCTCTGCCACCCCTGCACTCTGCAGGCAGACACCCAAGAGTCTGACGTGGCAGGAAGTCTGATGGTTTTTCCAGCTCTTGTTAGCGGTCCCTGGACCTTCCTGCTGCAGCTTCAGGGTGAGCAGTGCCCGCTGGTGAGGTGTCCTGCTCACAGTAAGAAGGTGTGACCCAGATACTCTCCAGACAAACAAGAACGAGTCATCTGGATGGCAAAGTATTGAAAAGGACTCTTGTGAGTTTTCTTTCTTTCTTTTCTTCCTTCCTTCCTTCCTTTCTTTCTTTTCTTTCTTTCTTTCTTTCTTTTTTTTTTTTTTTTTTTAACAAATTCTCTTTTAAAAAAATATATATATTTTATTGATCTTTCACAGAGAGGAAAGGAGAGGGATAGAAAGCTAGAAACATCAATGAGAGAGAAACATCCATCAGCTGCTCCCTGCACACCCCCTCCTGGGGATGTGCCCGCAACCAAGGTACATGCCCTTGACCGGAACCGAACCCAGAACTCTTCAGTCCACAGGCCGACGCTCTCTCCATTGACCCAAACCAGTTTTGGCAAGTTTTCCTCCTTTTCTTTCTAACTTCCCTCCTAATTCAAGACTAAGATGCTGACATGTCTTGAGTGACAAGAGCTGTCAGTCTTAGGCCCCCAGTAAAAACCTTACAAAACACATTTCCCATGTGTCTGCCCCTTCAAGGTAAAGACAACCAAACAGAGGTTAGGAATGTTCCCATGGACACCTGACCTTGAGGGTGACAATGTGTTTGACGATACACCCTCTCATACCTACACATGGAAATAACTTGGAAGCAGAAACTGTATTATAAAATTTAGATATGATTTATATACCATAAAATTCACCCTTTTAAAGTGCACAGTTCAATGTCCTTTAGAATGTTTGAAGTTGTGTAGCCATCACCAATTCTAGAACAATCTATTTCTAAAACCTGTAGAGTTTTAAAATGTAGGGCTACCTTGGGTTCTGAGTCCATTGATGAAGCAAACATGTGGCACCTCCCCACTGGTGGGTCAGATCCACTGACGAACAAAGGGAAGACAAACAGCTGCTGGGTTCTAACACAGCCCTTTGCACACCCTGTGCACGGAGTTCCCGCTGAGTGAGGCGCTCAGCGAGCCCAGCGGACGATGCCCTTCTGCCATCGCGCTCCCATGCTTGTGACAGCCACCAAAACCCAGGATTGGAGTAAACCGCCCTGACACCCAGGCCTTCAGGCGCTGTGAGTGTTAGTCAGGATGGCAGTGAACGAGGAAGCATGCTCTCTCATCTTAGTATTCCCAGTCAGAGCCAAGTGGTTTTCTGCACTTTGTCAATGGATAAATAAATGTGTAATTCTGTTAACATGCATTGGGAAATAGGGTTGATTTCACCTTTCTGGGATTCTTTTAAATGTTCCCTTTGGGTGGGTTAGACACTCAGTGAGTGTAGCTGTACTGGAGTGGGTTCCCAGAATGTTGGCCTTGGGATGGAGGTCAGACAGGTTTGTGTCCGCATCTCCCCTGGGGTTTCCCATCTCCTGCTTCTGTCCCGCCCCCTCCAACAAAACAGAATCTAGTCTTCTCCCCACCGCAGCCAGGGCGATAGTTCCAAGAGTCAGGGCTGTGATGCCGGTGCTCAAAGTCTCCGCTCACATACCAGCGTGTGGGGCAGTTCTGAGCTCCTCCCCCAGCCGCGCCCCTCGCTTCCCTGTTATCTCCTTTGATCCAGCCTCTGGCCTCAGCAGCGTTGATTGCTGCCTCAGCATCTTTGCGCGCTGTTCTTTCAGCTTTGCTCAAGCCCTCCTGCCTCTGGTCTGGGTGCACCTGTCCGCTCCTCAGGGAGCCCCTCCCTGCCCCCTGCCCTCCTGATCCGAGTCACCTTTCCCCTCCCCTGGCTCACACACACATTCTGTGGCACCGCATGCTAATGACATTTCTTTCCAGAACATAACAGCATTGGCATATATTGTATAACTGCTTAGTTAATGATCCCTGTGTCCCTCCCAGAGGCCCCTGGGGGGAAGGGTATCTCCTGATCACCAATCTATGCCCAGTGCCCACTCGGCTCAGGGTGGGAGCAAGGGCCGCTCCGGGGCTGCCCAAAGCTTCTCGGCTCTCCTAGACTGAAAGGGCATTGCGAGTGGCTTGGGACTGTTCTCTGTGCCTCTACCCATTCCTCTGGGTACCAGGCCCAGCGATCCTATAGAAGTGCACCCTCCTTCTGTGACCCCCTCCCCCAGGGGACTCCTCCATCAACATAGCACCCTCAGGGCCGGTCGCAGGGTGACAGGAGGCCACTGGACACTGCTCACGTCTCAGTCTTCCAGTTTGGGGGCTGGGGGTGGAGGGTGGCGGGAAGCAACCTAGGAGGACGGTGTGTGCGGCAGGAAAGCCACTGCCTCCGCCTCCAGGGCGCCCTACCATCAGGCCCGCAGGGTGGGGCTCGGGTAGCGCTGAACCGGCTGAGGCTCATTTATTGCCAACAGGTAAAGGTCAGAGGTAGAGGCTCGAGGTGGAGGCGGTGGGCAGGGGTTCGGCTGACATCGGATGGGGGCCCACGGGAGTGGGATGGTCAGGGCACCACTCTCCCCAGCAGTGCCAGCCACAGCGCCCCCGTCACCGCGGCCAGCGACGTGGACGGCCCGGGGTGCGCGGCGTCGGTGCTGGGCCCGGGGATGCTGGCGTTGGCGGGGGGCTCCAGGCCGCAGGCCGTGTAGGGCTCCAGGCAGGCGGCGAAGGCCATGAGATGCGCCACCACGCTCTGCTCCTGCACCCCGTGCATTAGGTGCGCCTGCGGGCCACGTGCGAACACCGCCACGTCCTCCCCACCGTGGGTCTCGGACGACAGGGGCACGGCCGCCTGCTGCTTGTAGTTGGGGTCATCTGGCCAGAGACAGGGGCTTAGGGTGGCGATCCGGGTCCTTGGACAATCCACCCCCCTCACCCGCCAAGGAGTTCCCTACGGAGGTCACCTGCCCGCCCCCCGGGTGGGGCACTCACTGCTCTGGCTGTCACTGACGTTGGGACGGGAGCCCCCGCTGATCACGAAGCCGGGGCCGTTGCCATAAAGGATGGAGGTGTAGGTCTTGCCATCGGATGCTGCCTCAGGAGCCAGCCCTGCAGGGAGAAGGGGCCCTGGGATAGCACCACTACATCTCTGCAGCGCCCCCTGTGTGCTAAACCCAGGCACTGCTTGCCTATTCAATACTTAAATCTGCACAAGACCCTACAGGGTTATGGCTATTATGACCCCATTTGACAGATGAGCAAACTGAGGCTCACAGCGTTTCCTGCCTCCTAATGGAGGAAGCCGCACCTGCCACTCCCTCCCCTAGACCTACCGAAAATGGAGGTGCCACGCAGAGTGTAGCCACCAAAAGTGAAGACGTGAGAGTGGTCAGCGGTGACAAGGGTCAGTGTGTCCTTCTCGCTGGTGAGCTGGCTGGCCCTGTTAATGGCGTCATCAAAACTGACAGCCTCGGTCAGTGCGAAGTAGGCTTTTCCCGCATGGTGGCCTTGATCAATGCGGCCCCCTGAGGAGAGACCGTGGGTGGGTTTTTTCCGGCGGTGACGACCTCCCCCGACAACACGCCTCTTGCTGAGAATCTCCTCCGTCCCTCCCAGGAAGAGGAGAAGAGGAAACACAAGAAGCAGCGCCTGGTGCAGAGGCCCAATTCCTACTTCATGGATGTGAAATGCCCGGGCTGCTATAAGATCACCACCGTCTTTAGCCACGCACAAAGGGTAGTTTTGTGTGTTAGTTGCTCCACTGTTCTCTGTCGGCCAACAGGAGGAAAAGCAAGGCTTACAGAGGGATGTTCCTTCAGAAGGAAGCAGCACTAAAAGCACCTCAGTCAAGATGAGTGGGAAACCATCGCAATAAACACATTTTGGACACACACACACAAACAAAAGACCGTGGGTGGGCGGTGGGAACCCGCCCTGAACCCTGACCTCCCTCTGCTCAGGGAGGGGGCCCCTCACTCACCCTCCACAAAGAGGTAGAAGCCCCGGGGGTTCCTGCTCAGCAGGCGCAAGGCGGCCTCTGTCATCTCCTTCAGGCTCGGGTCCAGCTTGCTGTCTCGTTGGGCCTCGTACTTCATGTCCTTTGGCTCAAACAGGCCTGTGGGGAAGGGCACGGGGTGATGGACACACTGTGGAGCAGGGTCCGTGCACACATGCGCGTCCAGGGACCCACCGGGGGGGCGGGGCGGGCAGGCGGGGAGGAGCGGTCATTACCCATGAGGTGCGTCACGGAGGGGTCCTGGGACGCCTGGAGGAGCGCTGTTCGGTTCCACACGTACTGGGCGCCCTGGCAGGGACAGAAGCAGGCCTCAGCCCACGGCTCTCCCGCCAGCAGCCCTGCCCTCGCCCCTGCTGTCCCCTGCACCCACAGCTCCGTCACCTCGTGCTTGGCCAGCCACTCCTGAACCAGGTTCCTCATGTCCGCTCTGGTTCCTTGCTGTGAGGCGTCACCAGGGTACTCAGGGTCTGGGGTGCCCTTGGGAAACATGTACTTGCGGCCTCCACCCAGGATCACCTGGAGCCAGAGGAGGAGGGCAGGTGAGCTTGGGGCCTGCCTGGCTCTTTGCCCCCTGAATAAGCAATCTCCAGGTCCCCTCTGCCTCCAATCGGGTCTGTGGCGAGGGCCTGGCTTGCCTGAACCTTCTACACCACCATCCAGAGACACTGTCAGGCCCCTGCTCCTGCCCCAGGCTCCTGCCCCTGCCCCAGGCCCCAGGGCTCAGGCTGTGGATTGCCTGGGACTGTGACCAGCGTGGGACCCACCCCTTCTGCTCAGGTCCCCTCTGCCCCATAACCCACATCAATGTCCATGTTGGAGATGAGCTGAGCGGCAATGTCCTGACAGCCGTCCTTCAGCGCCTGGGCAGGCATGTCTGCATCCGCGTACCATTCGCGGTTCACCGTGTGTGCGTAGGTGCCGGCTGGTGAGGCGTGCTGCACCCTCGTTGTGGTCACCACCCCCACTGACTTCCCTGAGGGGGAGGGAGGTCAGGTCAGGATGAGCCCACTGTGCGCTCTGGGCCCCACCCCTGCCCACTAGGCCGGCCCCCAGCCCACCTGCTTTCTTGGCCCGGTTCATCACGGAGATGACCTCGTTGCCACGTGTGGTGTTGCACTGGTTATACCGGGCCGCGGCACTCACACCGATGGTCCGGTAGTTGGTTTTGACACCACACAGGTAGGCCGTGGCTGTGCCTGCACTGTCTGGCACTTGTCTGTCCACGTTGTATGTCTGGGGGGACAGGGACACCCTCAGCTCCTCTCTGGGACAGACACCCAGATCATGACCAGGCCTCGGGCCCCTAACCAGGCCTGCCCTCCTACCAGGCTTCCTAGGCCCACCCACCCCTGTGGTGTGGAGCACCCTGAGGCCACCCAGCCCTTACCTTGGCCAGAGCCAGGTATGGGAACTTGTCCATGGCCAGGGGGGTCTCAGGTCCCAGCTTGCCATTCAACTGTGCCTTTAGGATCCGAGCTGCGCTCACTGTGGGCACCCCCATCCCTGAAAGAGAGAAACCCTGTGAGGTCTGCATCCACAGGCAGGGCTGTGACCATAGGTAGCCCTGGTACCGGGACTGAGGGCTCTGGGAACAAACCTGCCAGGCACACTCACCGTCCCCCAGGAAGAGAATGAGGTTCTTGGTGGCGGTTTGGATGGGCTGCAGCTTCTTGGCGGCGTCCAGAGCCTGGGCTGCCTGGTAGTTCCAGAAGGTTGGGTCTTCCTCCTCAGCTGGCCAAGGGGAGAGGGCGGTCAGGTCTGCCTTGGGGGAGCGCCCCAGATGTGGGCCCACTGGGAGGGGCCTGTTACCTGGGATGAATCCATGGGACAGCTGAATCCCCAGGCCCAGCAGCAGCAGCTGCAGCACGTGGGCTCCCTGCATGCCTGCAAGATGGTGGGCCAGCGAAGGAGCTGGGACTGCAGAGAGGCCGGGACCTGGTGAGGCAGGAACTTGGACAAGGCTGAGCCACCAGGGCACCAGCTGCAGGGCAAGCTCTTGGGGCTTAATCAGGAGAGGACTTTAGCCCTGGCTATAAAAGTCTCCATGTCCCTCTAATGACCCAGGCAGCTCCTCCTGATCCCACCCCTGCCTGCTTGCAGAAGGAAAGTGATAGAGTGTGGCAAAGTTTTTGAGGCCTGAACAAGGTGGAGCCTGCTGTCTGCCAGGTTAGAGTGGGGTCAGAGAATAGATGCCTGCTGGACGCTAATTCCAGCAGGTCATAAATGCAAGAAGTTTCATCAAAAGGTTGATGGAAGCTTGAGGATTGCCTGCTGGAAATGGCTAAGGGCATTTCCCCACACCTAAAGATTTGCATAAATGATTGCTTGCTGCCAGACAGCTGAGGGCATCTCAATCTACTTGTTATTGCCTCCTACTGGCCAAACACCTAAACAGCCATAGGTAGTTCTCCCAATCTGACAATGGATTCTGTATTCTAAACCTTACCTTTGATCTGTATATCTACTTTGCCTTAGGACAATTTGTGTTAATAAAAAGCAAGGGGTCCTGAGACACACAGAACTTGGTTCCTACAGCCCCCTAAAATGCCTTCCAAAATTATGTTTCATCTCTAGACTCTTTAATTATAGTAGCCCCTTCTCCAGATTCCCGAACCCTTCTAGATACTGGACAAGACCCCCCCCCCCCCCCCCCCGGCAGGTGCCCTCAGGGTGAGGAGCATTTGCAGGGTCCTGATGTGGCCACCTCGACTCTCTGCTCCCACAGTCCTGGGAATCCATCACTTCTTCATTCACCTGATTTTGTTCTATGTTAACCTTGAGACCTGGGCCCAGGCTCAGTTCTGGGTATGGAGGAAGGTGGAGTATATAGACAAAATGGACACTAGACTGGGAGGAGGCAAGATGGCAACCGATCAGATGGACTTGTTCTGAGCCTAGTCCCAGAACAGATATAAGCAGCTTCTCAGAGTCGCTCAGGGAGTACTGATTTTCATGCGAATGGGTAGCAGAACTCTAAAAAAAGGTAAGGATCCTCTGGACAGGATTTCCTGACCAAGCAACCAGCACTGCGGCGGCGGAGATCTCTCCTGGAGCTACAGGCTCAGAGGGAAGGCTGCGCCATCTAGGTTAACACATCTTTGAAAAGTCTCTCTTCAGAACCATTGGAAGAAAAACCACCCTCAAGAGAGCACATAATTTTATTAACTATCCTGTAATCCAATCTTGCCTTGCTTTCTCTTACCTTCATATAATCTTCCTTATGTTCCCTCCTTAATTCCTAATGTATAAAAGAAGCTACAAATAAGAGAAAGAAAGAGAGAAAAAGAAAGAAAGGGAAGAAGAAACTGCAAACAATATCCTAAGAAGCATTTTTTTCCTCAGTCTGTTGAGATCTTACCTCCAGGTATATATGCTTTGTTTGGATCAAATACTTTTTAATAAAAATCCTCTACAGGTTTAATTGATTTTTTTTTTTTTTTTTTACAGAGAGGAAGGGAGAGGGATAGAGAGCTAGAAACATCAATGAGAGAGAAACATCAACCAGCTGCCTCCTGCACACCCCCTATCAGGGATGTGCCCAAAACCAAGGTACATGCCCTTGACTTGAATCAAACCTGGGACCTTTCAGTCCGCAGACCGATGCTCTATCCACTGAGCCAAACCGGTTTTGGCAAAATCCTCTACAGGTTTAGACATTCTTACATGGGCATTAGTTGGCTCAGCTGGCAGGATTCTAAATAAGCCCACCCAGGACCACCTGCACCAGGCCAGGTATTAGGTATCAGTGTGCCCCCTGCACTCCAGGGGCTCTCTGCCCCTCATTAGGTAAACTTGGGCGAGTCTCCTCTTAAAATCCTTAACCTACCTGCTTTAGGTAGTGGTTCCTGTCTTTGAGTTGTTCTTTCTATTTATTATTATTTTTTCATTGATTTTAGAGAGAGGAAGGGAGAGAGAAACATCAATGTGAGAAACATCATTCGGTTGCCTCTTACACATGCCCTGACTAGGGATGGAACTCACCTCCTTTCAGCATACAGGACAACTCTCCAAACAACTGAGCCACCCCGGTCAGGGCCATTTGAGTTGTTCTTAACTGGCTCAAAATTAAAATTAAAATGAACGTGGGAAATTGTACATCCAAGGCTGACGAGCCCCATGATAGTCAGCCTCCGTTCAGTACTCAGGCAAGTTTCATGTGCAATTTGTATGAAGCCTTGACTTGAGAGTGTTTACAGAAATGGGGAGAATTAGATAAAAGTGACAGCAGCTTAAGATGGGCAACAAAGGTATCTTTAGATACCGCTAAGCTCTTTTTTGTGTGCTTGATGGGGAAAAAATCAGGCTTTGGAATGGAATTGGATAAATGGGACACTAACCTTGATTAGAAAATAGAAGTCTGTACAGGAGTACAGGTAAGCTTTCCTCTGCTCGGGAATTTAAGAGAATTTTAAAGACTGTCAGATAACATTTTTTTCCTCTTCAAGGAAGTTAGCAAGAAACTTTTAGAAACTGTCTCTGAACTAAAGAAGGCTTCTGAGGCTGCAGGGCCAACACCCACTTCACCCTTCCTCCTTTCTGACGCCCCTTTTTGGGCTTGTCTCCCCTTTCTTCACCTCCTCTTTTCTCCGCATTACTATCACCCTCTTCTGGCTTAGGGGAAAGTAAGAATTAAAAGACAGAACAGAATAGGGCTAGAAACACACACACACACTCTCACACACCCACACACCCCAAAATAAAAAACAAAAACAAAAAACAATCCCATACAAATCATTGGAGCTCTGCTTAGAGAAAACCCAGGCTCAGGATGAGGGGAACCAGCAATAATTCGCTCTCATGGACTAAAGCAGAATTAAGGAATCTAACTGTAGATTTTCCTGATCCTCTTTAAGACCCTTTTGGGTTTGCAAAAGAATTTTATTTAATTGTTAGAATATATGATCCTGGATATCCTAACGTGTTTCAACCAATACAGCAACCAGTTTCTGAGAGCAAAGCAGCAGAATAGCTAAGTGAGATCCGCTGGAAAACTCCTATAGAGGATTAAAAAAAAAAAAAAAAAAAAAAAAAAAGGAGAAACAGGCCAAGAAAAGGCAGGGAATTAAGCCCACTGGCTTCACCAAGCCACCCCTGAGATTCCCCCTTACCCTCCAGAAAATAGATTGGATGAAAATCCAACACTATCAATGAAAACATATTTGATTTATTTGAATGTTTTGAAAAAAAAAGTTTCAAACAACATTCAGGATAGTCTCCAGACAGTTTTAAGGAACATCAGAATGATCCAATGCTTATCAGCATTTCTGGAAGGATTAGATGAGGAGCTTGTAACTCTGATCGAACAACATGAATTAAACCGGTCAACCACACATGTAAACAATTCTGATAAACTAGCAATTCTGGCCCATCACTTATTTGAAACGATTCAAAAGGCATAAAATTATGAATGTTAGCTCCAGCAGCTAATCAGGTCAGACCTCCGTAAAGGACTTTCCAATGAGGTCAAAAGAGAGTCTCTTTTTACTGTAAAAAGCCAAATTGTCTTAAGGAAAATTGTCGAAGATTGAAATGGAATTTAGAAGAAAAAAAGGGGGGAGTGGAGAGAGGAGCAAGCATGGAGCTTCTCTAACGGTTATGAGAGGGTGTTTCCCCTTCTTCTTACCAATGCTTTATGAGAAATTGAAATTACCCCCAGGCCAGTGTTGCTCAGTGGTTGAGCATCAACCCATGAAACAGGAGGTCACGTTTCGATTCTCGGTCGGGGCACATACTAGGTTGCAGGTTTAATCCCCAGTCTAGGCGGAAAGCAATTGATTAATTTCTCTCTCACACTGATGTTTCTCTCCCCCCACCCCTTTTCCTCTCCCTCTAAAAGGCAATAAAAACATATTCTCAGGTGAGGATTAAAAAAACAAAGGTATTACCAGACATCCTGTGGTTATCTTATTATCAGCCATTCCCGTGGATTGCCAATATTTTTTCATAAAATCTCTGTAGCGCCTTCTTCGGCATTCCTGTGGAAAAGACAGTACCCCTTTACCATCACCTGGGGGAGACCTGCCATTTGCGTGGATCGTCATGTGAAGGGACAGACGGAAACCCACCCATTTTTCTCAGATACTAAAGGCTGATTTAAATTATGTTGATGTTCCCGGAGACTGAACCCTAATCCAATAGGTGGATGATTTAGTTTTATTCTCTAAAATATAACTAGACTCCCTAAAGGGTACCATTTACTTATGACAGCAGCTGGCTATAAAATAACATAACGTCTCAAAAGACAAGTTCTGATTCTGTTTGCCTCAAGTAACGTCGTACTTGGCGGTTTGATATTTAAAGAATGGGATACTAGACAGGTGGCTACCGGCCATGTCTTGGGTAGCTGGTGGTGAGGCCAGGGGTCCGCTCAGCTCACACGATCAGAAGCCCAGTGTCAACTGCAACCTCAAGGTTCCAGCAAACAATCGATCGGGGTCTGAGGAAACCACTCCTTCCCAGGGCTGCTGCAGCCAGAGAACCTCAGTAGGAGGAGCTGGTCCATGTGCTGAGGGCATCTGTGACGGTCTAGGAAGGACCACGAGTGATGAACTAGCCAGAGGGTCTCCCGGTGACAGGAAAACCAGGAGAGCTGACCTTGCTCTCCGTGCTGCCCCTGCTGAGCCCGTCCCCGGGGCTCTGGAGCAGGAGCCAGGTTGTCCGAGCATCTGGGAAGGAGACCTCTGGACTCGTACTCCTCTCCGGTTGTCCCAGACAGCAAGCCGACTCCAGAAGTCTCCTCCCGCTCACGAAGAGCCACCCACGGGGCTGTCACTGATGGGATCCTGGCTACTTCTGAGGGGCAGACCCAGCAGCTCTGAAACCGGAACACGTTGATGGTATTGGCTTCGCAGTTCCAGTGAAGTCCCTGTCCCGAAAGGACATCCTGGGAGGTGTCAAGAGGACCCTAAGCCACTTCCGTGTGGTGGCCACCAGCTCTGGCTGTGCTCTGGCCCAGCTGCAACCACTCACAGTGTTCCCTGGTCAGCTGCAGGCACGCATGGTACCACAGCTCTGCCCTGTGCTCGGGGACCACGGGGATGCAGCCTGCGTGGGCACTGTCCTGGGCCAGCCCTTTCTACTGCCAGCGGAGAGCACAAAACCCCAAAGACAGGTCCTGGACGAAGCCTCCCCGGACGCCTCCACCCGACGCCTGCCCAGGCCGCCCAGATGCCCTCACACCCCCACCTGCGCTGTCTCCGCCTCCCGGGTCCCAGGCACAGGGATGCCCCACAGAGCTTTGGGCACCTTTGCCCTCTTATTTCTCCAGAACCCTACAGTGCCTGGAGCTCCTCCAACAATAGTCTTTCTATTCCTGCTGTTCCTACTGGAAAGTGGTGAACAGACTGGAGGAAAAGGAGCTCAGTGTGCAACAGGCGGTAAGGTCTTGGTTTAGGGCTCTGTGGTTGGACTAACCTAAGATCACATCCTGGCGAGGCACTTGCTGTGTAGTGTTGGACAAATAACTTCACCTCTCTGGACTTGAGATAATAAATGTACCTAACTCATAGTATAGTTTTGAGGATTTGCTGGAAAGGTTAAAAAAAAAAAAAAAGTGGCCGAAACCGGTTTGGCTCAGTGGATAGTGTCAATCTGCGGACTGAAGGGTCCCAGGTTCGATTCCGGTCAAGGGCATGTACCTTGGTTGTGGGCACATACCCAATGGGGGGTGTACAGGAGGCAGCTGATCGATGATTCTCTCATTGTCGTTTCTAGCTCTCTATCCCTCTCTCTGCCTCTCTGAAAAAAATCAATAAAATATATTAACAAAAAAAAAAAGTGGGGTACTAATTAACTCTGAAAGACTCAGATGACTCCTAGCCTTTCCTCTGCTAAGAACTAGGAAACAGCTCAGGGGCTTTGTAGAGATATCTGGGCACAGTCACAACTGGGTTCCAACTTTTTCACTAATGGCTCAACCTCTACATGCCACATTGCAATCAGATGGACTGATTTCATTGAAGTAGTGTTGGGAGCCATCAGAGTTGATACAAGCAACTCCGTCTTAGAAAATACAACTCCATCTTGGAATTAAGTTTCTAGTTCCTCCTAGCAGAAATCACGTGGCCCTGAGGTTTGGCCAGAAGCTAAAGATAACCTATCGCTTAAGGACACATCCTGCTCAGGAAGATCCCTACAATGTCCCCTCCCTGATCCTCCCTCCCATAGTTTGCCCCGCCTTGGAATGTCCCGGCAGCAACCTCCCCCTACAGCCTGTGAATATATATATATATATATATTGCAGCTGCAACAATAAAATTCGAGGCTTGATCAGAACCTTGTCTTGCCTCCATTTCTCCGTGTCTCCTGTCCTCCCTCATTCCCTTCCAGGTGTCTCCTCGCTCCCACGTTGCTGTCCCGCTGGCCGAGGCAAAGTAGAAGGGAAACAAAGTGTAGGAGCTCTAAAGGAAGAATTATCTGAAGCTCCAATTTTGGGACACCCTAATTATAAACTCCCTTTCCTTTTGCACAGGAAAATAAAAGAAATGCTTTAGGAATTCTAACTCAGAAACACGGAGAGCGTCATAGCTCCATAGAATATCATAGTTAGCAATCAGACTCAGTACCCAACGGCTCCCTCGCTGCTTGAGGGCCACCTCTGCGGCAACCAGGTTATGCAAACAGACATTTAACCATTGCTGTAACCAGTTTGGCTCAGTGGATAGAGCTGCAGATTGAAGGGTCCCAGGTTCAATTCTGGTCAAGGGCATGTACCTTGGTTGCAGGCACATCCCCAGTAGAGGGTGTGCAGGAGGCAGCTGATCGATGTTTCTCTCTCATTGATGTTTCTAACTCTCCATCCCTCTCCCTTCCTCTCTGTAAAAAAAAATCAATAAAATATATATTTAAAAAAAACATTTAGCCATTTATGTTCCTCCTTTTTCTGTCAAATCTTTGCTAAACTCTTACCACTACTCAAATGGCTTCTTATGAAATACTCCTGGTTTCTACACCTAATATTACTTTTGTCCAACATCTTAACCCAGCAACTTTACTACCTTCTTTACAGGATAGAAACACTGACCACCTCCTTTCAGGTGGATATAATGGAAAGTTCTCATTTAGCTGAATTAACAAACCAAGTAAATTGCTCTAACTCACCCAGCTGGCATGAGTCAGTGATTGAACATCAACCTGTGAACTAAGAGGTCATGGTTCAATTCCTGGTCAGGGCACGTGCCTGGGTTGTGGGCTCAATTCCCAGTGGGGGACGTTCAGGAAGCATCTGATCAAGGATTCTCTCTCATCACTGATGTTTCTATCTTTCTCTCTCTTCATCTCTGAAATCAATAAAAAAAATACATAAATTAAATTGCTTTAATTGAAGCTTGTCAGTTGGCCAAAGACCAAGTAGTAACTATTTACACTGACAATCACTGTGACTTTGGTGTAGCTCATGACTTTAGAAAGTTATGGAAGCAACAGTCTTCTTAACTTCCGTAGGGGTAGTCTATAAAGAATGGAAAACAGGTTGAAGAATTATTAGATCACATACAGCAATCCAGACAACTGGAAATAATCAAGATTCCTGGACATTCTAAAGCTACCAGCAAACAAAAAGAAATCATTTAGCTGATGCAGCAGCTAAACAAACAGCAGTAAGCAATCAAATTATCTGGACCCAAGAATGTTCTTTGCTCCCTGCTAATAAAAGACTCTGTTTTTAAAAATCAATAAATTAGTAGATTATTCATTTCAGAGTTCACTTCCAGTAACGCAGACTTCAAAGACCATGGCTTACAATCAGCAGATTTTGTCTATTGAAAGAGATATCAAATAAAAGACTCTCTCCAATCTCATTAGAAAAAAACAAATCAGGTGTTACTAACAAATCCATGTGCAACTTAATTTAAAGGGGTTAACTCATGGATTCACATTTCTCATCTAAAAAAGGTTCTGCCCCTATCAGATGTCCACTTGCCTGCACCTTAAACAGACATCAGACTCCTCTAGGATGAGACACTGCTGACAACAGAGGCAGACAGCGATCCCAAGACATTAACAAGATATGTGAATCTCCAGATTGATATTGAACTCAAAATCCATTTTCTTTGATTGTCTTTACCTGTCTACTAATCTTATATAATAAAACCCTAATATGCCAATCAACAGAATGGTGAGTGGATCACACTGACCAGCAGGGGGCAGATGCTCAATGTAGGAGCCGCCCCCTGATGGTCAGTGTGCTCCCATAGGGGGAGTGACGCTCAGCCAGAAGCCAGGCTTACAGCTGTTGAAAGCAGATGTGGCAGGAGCCTCTCCCGCCTCCGCTGCAGGTGGGTGGTAAGAAGTGGGAGGTCCCAGACTGCGAGAGCCCCAGATTGCGAGGAGAATATCTGACTGCCAGCTTAGGCCCGATCCCCTCGGGCCTAAGCTGACAGGTGGACATCCCCCAAGGAGTCCTGGACTATGAGAGGGCACAGGCCAGGCTGAGAGACCCTCACTGCATGAATGTCATGCACTGGGCCTCTAGTAATATTATAATAGTTATGCAGTGGAACCTCGTTTCTCGAACTTAATTTGTTCTGGAAGGCTGTTCGAAAACCAAATTCTTTATTCCCATTAGGAATAATGTAAATTGAATTGATCTGTTCCAGACCTCCTAATGATTCCCTGTTTTAACCTTTGTTATTTTCAGTACCTATCTACTATACTACTTAATCTGCAAATAAGCACTTTAAAAACAAAAAGGACATGAACTGTAAATGAAAATTTAACAAAAAGGACAGGAAATGTATGGTAAAAAATGAAAATGTAACAAAAATTATAAGCAGCAACAAAAGAAAAAAAATACACACAGAAATATTCACAGCATATTGTCCTGAGATTTTTACAGTGGTAAATTGACTCATATTCACACATTTTCTCCTATTTGTCACCTGAGAGATGCATGACTGATCATACAGGTATCAGCATGAAAAGGTTGTAAGGTTGAGAAATGAATTCTTAAAGAAACGAGTTTCCACTGTACTTATTCTTTTTTTCTATACAGTTCAACCGTTTATGATTATAGTAAAAGATAACTGTTAATACTCTTTATGACTTATGTAAATGTTATACTAGATGCAAAATACAGAAAAATGAGACAGACTGAAGACCTAGGACCACGATAGAAATGATTGATGGAAATGATTCAGTTTTTTTCACAATGAAGGCCAAGCAACCTGACTGCCTTCCGTTTACCTGCCCATTCCTTTGGGGAAAATTTGGCCTCAATTCACATCCCATAGTTACAGAATTGCCCCGTCCTCAATGGCCCACCATTTCTACAAGAGGGTGATACTGAGACTTCCTAGAAATGAGTCTTTTGAGCCCTGTGTGACTCACTATCCAACCAAAGTGTTAATCATCAATGCATTCTTCAGACTGATTTATAGCCACAGGCTCATGTTAGAAATCCCTGGATTTTTCTACGGCAGCAGCTTCAGGGTGAGCAGAGCCCAGCCAGCGAGGTGTCCTGCTCACAGTTACAAGATTGGGTGTGAGCATGAAAACTCCCCAGACAACCAAGAACGAGTCATCTTGATGGCAAAGTATGGAGAAGGGCTCTTGTGAGTTTTCCTCCTCCTCTCTCTAACTTCCCTCCTAATTCAAGACCAAGGTGCTGACATGTCTTGAGTGACAAGAGCTGTCAGTCTTAGGCCCCCAGTAAAAACCTTACAAAACACGCTTCCCATGTGTCTGCCCCTTCAAGGCAAAGACAAGGAAACAGAGGTTAGGAATGTTCCCATGGACACCTGACCTTGGGGGCGAAAATGTGTTTGACAATACACCCCCTCATACCTACGCATGGAAATAACTTGGAAGCAGAAAGTATTATAAAAAATTTCGATAGTCCTGGTCAAGTAATTAAGTTGGTTAGGGCATTGTCCCAATATGCCAAGATTGTAGGGTTGATCTGTCAGGGCACATACAAGAATCATTCAATGAATGCATAAATAAGTGGAACAACAAATTGACATTTATCTCCCTCTCTCTCCTTTCCTCTCTCTAAATAAATACATACCATAAAATCCACCCTTTTAAAGTGCATAGGTCAATGTCCTTTAGAATGTTTGAAGTTGTGTGGCCACCAACACTGATTCTAGAATAATCTATTTCTAAAATCTGTAGAGTTTTAAAATGTAGGGCTACCTCGTTTTTTTGTTTTGTTTTGTTTTGTTTTTAATATATATTCTTATTGATTTCAGAGAGGAAGGAAGAGGGAGAGATAGAAACATCAATGATGAGAGAATCATTGATTGAGTGCCTCCTGCACTGGGAATCAAGCCCCCAGTCCTGGCATTTGCCCTTGACGGGAATC